TGTACGTGACTGAGCTGGGAAAAATAGATGGAACGTACAGGGAGATGTTTGAGGCATGGAATAGAGAGGAAAGGACGGTAGCTGTAGTGGGGCATAGGAGGTGGGTTGAAAAGGCGGGAAGGGATATCGTTAGGATAGACAGACTAGGGAAGACGTTTTTGAGCCACCTTTGGCAAAGTAGAAAGGAACGATTAGCCATCGGTGATCGGTCCTGTGGGAACAATGCTCCGTCCTCTCGAGGACGCGTGGTCAATGGTCTAACCGCTAAGACATGCAAAACATAAGAGTACGCCCCCCCCTTTGGGGCCCCTGCGCTGCACTTTATCACCCGGGCTACGCAAGATACCACCCCCCACAGGATACTACACCCGGTGATAATATTTTTATAGCCCTTAATGTTATCACCGGGGTGTGTTATCTTGTGTCGTCTACGGTAGGTGGAGATGCTTTTTTGTTTGTTTTTTCTTCTTGCGCACGCTGCACACCTTTATGTGAGACGCACTACGACAGCCTCGGGCTGCCCCCGACCGCCAAAACTTAAACCTTTGACCGCCGGAACACGTACTCTCACACGTGAGCAATGAATGGTCGGTCGTGATCAGATGATTGTGGTGAGGAATTCTAGACATGCGGTGTCTTGAGCAGCGCATGATTACGTTTACAGAGCGGCAACCAACCGTTACATACTTCTGAGCCGCTGTACAGCACACACATCTATCTATTGTGGCGTGCGTACACGGCAGATCAGTGTGGCCCTTACATAGTTCAAGCACGTCTCACATGTGATATAAGGGTTCGGACGTTAGGTCGCGCTTTGACCAGTTCGCGAGTTTGGGGATTGGGTCAATCTGTGAAAACATGTGTGTGACAGCCGCGTGTGCACACCAGCACCGAAGCACAGGAGCACACGATTGGCAGCACAGAGAACTGCTGTGTCTCCGCAATGTTAAACAGCAGCCAACACCCTCAACACTTCTTCTTGTATATATGGGCTCTGCAGGAGGTCACCACACAATCCCAGGATGTCTTCAACCCGGCCATACTACGGAAGGCCGTCAAGCCGTGAAGAAGTACACACACACACACACATCGCTTTGAACTTGCCTTCCCCTGCTACGTGTCAACAGCAGTACGACACCGACAGCGGTCATCACACGCAATACGCCGTTCCTGACCCTTCCGTTCTAACGCGAAATGCCTACAACAGCTACATTTCTCATTCATCAAGTTGCTTCGACGAAAGCCATACCCAACAGTGACGCACGTTTACTCTCAGATGGTGTGCTAGCCGCTTGCTCAGCGGACCCGCGCAGATGTTTCACGACTTTTGTTCACAAGGAACCAAAGGAACCGATAATGATGCTTGCTGTGGTCATTTGTGTTGTAGCTTGTCTAGCCACCGTACGAATGATGGGAAAGATGCTGTCACTCGACGCCAAGCCACACATTCTTCAATTCAAACTCTATAGATAGTCTGAGAGAAATGTGAATGTACATTAGTTGCCGCGTATCACCATTACTTTCATCGCTACTCACCAGGGTGTTCGCGTCAAGCGAACCCTGTTTCCGAAAAGGCTGTTGTTCGGTCGGCATGACTGTGTACCGTGTCCAAGGGCATACGGTGCATACTTGTTTTGATTTGACGTTGGATCTC